CATAATGCATATGCACCATGTACTGCTATCTGATATTTTTGACATTTTTAGTATTACACAGTATGGTAGTAAAGGCAATTTAATGTTGTAACAGTGAATATTCACTGCAGGGTCGCTGACAATGTGTTGGGATGGTTCTGAGAAAGTTCTGAAAAACGTCTGGAGGCCTGTAGAACGCAAATCTGTTCTTGTTAAATGTTTTTTTTTTAAACCGCAATAATAACTACATTTCTGATGGTCGAAGGCCTTTGCTATTTAGTAATTACTCAAATCTTTCCTCCATATCCTTTGTCCCCGTATTTCATTCGTCTGTGATGTTTCATGAGCTTCCGGAAAAGCAAACATATTGTATTGGTGTTTTTTTTGATAATTAGTAAATGTTCAGATCCAAAATATCTTTAAAAGTTCAAAAAAAAGTAAAGAATGACTGCCAAGTGTTTCTGTCTTAATGTCAACATTCGTGGGTTAAGCTAAATGAATCCTACTGTAAAAGTTGTTTCTTATGTGTGTCTTGACCGCGTCTTGGTAAATCTGATTCATTACAAGCAGCATGAGGTATGAATAACGTGTAATTAACCTTGCAATGGCAGCTACCCAGCTTTGGTCCACTTGGCACTTGTACGCTTTAGCCATGCCAAACCTTGTGTTTGTTTGAGCCAATCGACTTGAAAGTCGTACCTGGATTACTCCCCTGGTCGAACAGTGAATGTCTTTAATTTCTGGGCTACATAAGCACTTGAGCCTGGGGTGAGTTTTAGCAGCAACAGAGACTCCAATTATATTGGAAAATCCTCTTTCAGGACAATTTCAACAAGGTATAGCAGGCAAACCACTCTATCCTCAAACACCAGGGATGCCACTAGGGCTGTGCATTCAATTTAGCCCACAGCAAATAATTCTCTTATTACTGCAGCGAAGTACTCGCACAAAACTTTTAATATGCCTTCTGCACTTCGATGCTTCTCCTAGCCAGAACCAGGAACCTTCTTTCCACCAATCTGCTTCGAATCAATATCACAGATAATCGTAGGGGACTAAATTATTGTGATTGTATCATTGCATTCATTTGATATTTAGTGCTGTTCCTAACGGTCAAGCAGCAATTGCAGTATTTCACAATTAACTGCAAAGGCTAAACATGATGATATGTAATAAACTGTGCATTCCTATTTCAACTCAGTGATGTATTAGTTTAAATTGGACTGTACACACGCATACACACACACAACAGAAGTGGACCTAGGCCCTGTTAACAGATTTCAACAAGGACGCGAATAGTAGCGCACAAGCCTACACATACACATGTATTATTTCCCCTCCGACTGCTCTGTGATAGCCATGTTCCACCAGCTAGGTCTCCGAAAGCATCATTCACTCCTACAGTCAAATCTCTGGACAGCTGAATTTTCATTCATCTCTTTTTCCTGGTAACAGGCTATATACAAACAGTCAAAAGAAAACAACATGCATTTCTTATCTCTGGATAAAAATGGTGCCTTACAAACTAAACTGATTCATTCAGTCCATTTAATCATTAAGACATAAACAAAGTCATTCAGAGTTTGACCTGAAATGCACCTTTGCAGAGAAAGAATTGTTTACAGCGATGCTGATATGAACCAGACAGAAAGGGTTGCCTCTCAAAGTTACACCACATGAAGCTGAAATGGTTGTGAATATGTTGCTGGATGCCTGAGATGTTGTTTTGTGATAACCCTGAGATAAACAATTCTTAATCTAGTCACAGTAGAGAGGACTATACAGGATGTATTGCAAAACAGTACATAAAAAACCTCCCTTCTTCAGATTTACCACCAGTTTACCAACATATACATACATTTCACATAAAAACACATGTAGGTTCATTGGTTATTAGACAGCAAATGAAATGACTATAACTGTATTGGCATGGCGACCCCTGGATCCTATTATCCTATTACCACCATTGTAAAGAAGTCATTAAGTTTCTCTACAATCACATCAAAACACTCCGAATGACTCAGTAATTAGATTATACAAAATTTTCTTAAAAAATTGATGGAATTCCTCTTCATTCTGCTTCTGCTTTTGTTCTAAAAAGCAGATATGATAATCCATTTGCAAATGCAATAAGCGGACTTGCTTCTCAATCTTGGGTGTGATAACATCTTTAAAAAGTGTGCTTCATTGAGCCAAGTTGCCTTCAGATTTCTCCAAAAGCTAAAGTCACAGTGAGCTGCCAAGTTATTCTTTTTAACCTTCAGAAGCTGCAGTTAATGCCAGGAATACTGAAAGCATGGCGTTATTCAACAATAATTATTTCTCACTCATTGCTTATTAAAAAGTGCAGGTTCTACACTTTCAATCGATGTCACATTTCTGTTCATAAGTGCAAGCAGAAATCTTTTTATGATGTTTTAATGTAAATATACTTTACATGTTTTACATGTTTCTCATTTCTTGACGTTGAAAGAAACAGAAAAAATTGGTGGAGCAGACTGTTAATAATTACAGATACAGAATGTGAACTGAATGTAAATATAATTCATTGTAGAACCTACTACACTAATACACAACAATTATGTCATTACATATATAGTATAGCAAAATGAAAATAACTCTCGCCTTCTAAGGAGAACTGTGAAAATGATGCATAAATGATCATATATGAATTAATTTTACATGACCATCTAAAAAAAACTCAAGGTGTTTTATTTATTTTCCCATTTTGAGAGGCCTCCCAGGCCACGTGAGAAGCCTGAAGAGTGAGTCCAGAGCATTAAACTTCTATTGACAGTTGAGGCTTTTGCCTCATGGAAATCCTGTTACGGTAAAAGGAGCCCTCAAAGGCAGTAAACCAGCCAAGTGCTTCGCTCTCAGCTGTGAACCTGAGTAACAACACACTTGCTCCGATACCTTCTAAATTAAGTGTTGTAACCGGTGACACGGAAAGCGAAAAGCCTGAAAACACACCGGGCAAACCTCCAACAAATGAGTCAAAATGTACCACTGACATTTAGCCTTCACACTCAAAGCGCTTTTGCCCTGTGAGAAGAGGAGAAAAAGTGTGTCTTTTGTAAATACTTGCAAATGACTGTGTTATCAGATACGTTCTTCCTACTCTATCAGTCAAAAGACTCAAAACACTGATCTTAATCTATTCATTTGACTGTTTCAGCTGCAATTAGGACTGCAGAATAGTAAATAATATATAGGATAAACAAGCATACAGATGACATTACTCCTAAATTAAGTCATAAACTGATACGACATTCCACATCAAGCCAAACCAGAGCTAGACAGTGCATGTTCGTTCGATTACTTTTCAAAGAATAACCCACTTCTTCCTTTAGGAGGACAGTCACACACAAAACTTCTTCAACAAACCAAAACAGACACTTATAAAACATCCTCCAGTCAGTATCCTACATGGATCTGAACTGTTTTTCTTCTGATGTCCACATGCAAATATGAGCTCTGGTCCAGTCAGTTTGATCAAATGCTTACCCTCCCGTTCTTCTGATAACTGATAAAGCTACGTTCAATGTCGCCTACCAGCTGAAGCTCTCAGCAGAGAGGGGAAGGAGGGGGAATACACGTTACCCATAAAAAATGCAGTAGCAGCACAGAGAACATTAATTATAGACTAGTTATTATCACATATATTAAAAATCCAATGTTGTTCACATTCATGAATCTGCTGCACTGTTCTCCAGGCCACTGTGAGCTTTACTGGTGGACATTTACCAGCAGTGAAACCCACTAAGAGGCATTTAGATGTGTGCCACTACATATTTTACAAGCGAAGATGACCTCAACATCTTAGAAAAAGCACCACAAAGTATATTACTGGGTTATAACCTTTGGATCATACACATCTGCAAATAAAACAGGCCTTAGAAAGCATTTTGAACCAGACGTGGTTAATTTAAGCATCAAAAAAAACCCATGCAGCCTTCCAAAGAACAGTGCAATATACAGTTGGTTATCATTTGCGCAACTTTAACCTTTGTAATGTCGATATTGCAGGAAGCTGCAGTTTGCAAATAAAACACAAAACTGTTTATTGCATGCTGTGATTCTCCTGAATCACCTCAGACCTTCCAGATCAGCGTCTCTCCCATAGAGAAATCTGATATATGGCCATATATGCACATATATAATAAAGGGGCAGACATATATTCAAAGATATATGTACATGTATGTAAGTATCAAATACTGGACATATACACATAAAATGTGGATCATATATACATGGTTGAATACATATGTGAGAAATATATGCCTTCCATATATGTATGTTTTCTACCATATATTGTTAAATATGTATAACACATATATGTTTGAGTATGTTAATATATTGCTGAAATATTCCCTATATCCCAATGTCCCATATTTGAAAATAGCCAAATTTCAAATTAGTTGGCATATATGTCATATATATGTCCACATGTGACTAACGTAAGTTGGATATAAGAGAAATCCATATATGCTAATATATGTCATATATTTTCCATATATTGCCGTATATCAGATGATTAGTAATCCTGGTCAAAACAATGCATAGCAATTCTCCCTGAAATCAAACCAACATATTTCAGTATTTGTCATTATGGCATATTGCATATCGTATATTCTTTAGAAAGGGTGGCTCTTCAAAGGTTCTTTAGTAAAGGGAATGGTTCTATTTGGAACCATGAGCTCTATACAGAACTATCTGCATGCTTTAATGGTTCTTTGCCTGGTGAAATGGCTCTTCAGACTGACGGGGAATCTATACAGAACCTGTTTGAAAATTCTATATAGCACCAAAAGGGTTCTTCCACAGTTAAGATGTCAAGCTTGTAACAATAGCAGAACCCTTTTTGGTGCTTTACAGAAAAGATACAAGACATTCTCCATCAATCTGAATCCTTTCACCGTGTAGAGTGTAGAGTGTAGCAGTATTATAGTCGTTTTCCCTAAGTATCGTGTACCTCCCACCCCAAAGCAATCCAAGCAACACAAGCGAACTGACTCACCTGAAGAGCAAGAGATGAGGAACACGCCGAATGCAAGTTTTGTAGCTGGACCCATATTTTCTTCTTCTTCTCCTTTTAAATCTGGTATCCTTTTCGTTTATATGACAAGAGTCCAACAGCTGCAGCTTCCAGCGGTTTCCCGTCAAAACGGCCACAGTCTTTAACAGTACGACTGCTCACTCGTTTAAAAACCCATGTCAGGGACTCGGTGATGTGTAGATGAAAAGCAAAATACAATCCTTTTAAGGGTCAAACTGTGGTCTTATATTAAAGTCCCAGCAGCCAAGGATGTGTAGCTAGAGATCCGGACCAAAAACAAAATAGGAAAACAGGGGCAGTTCAGTAAAACTGAAGAAATCAGTTAAAACAGTTCAGTATAATATGAGTACGTATTCCTTGCGAAGGTTAATCACAAATCCCACATTAGCAGTTTTGAGTTCACTCAGGCAAAAAAAGACTGAAAATCTGCCTGAGGTGAAAAAGCAAAAAAACTGTCAAAGCTCCAAACCCAGCCGTTCAATAACCTCTCCTTCGGTAGGGTTAAGTGGGCCACTTCCCATGCCCAGTGATGACAACTTGTCACTAAAAAAAGACTAAAAATCAGTTTCCTGCGAGAAAAAAAAAATCATTCAAAGATCCAAAGAAAGCGTCCCACACTCTCACTCACTTCATGGGAAAGTCACCATCCTACAACTACGTGCGGTGTTATGAGAGCCGAGGGAGGCAGATAACGTGGATAATTTATGTGTACGAGCATTAATGCTTGGTCGAATAGAGAGATTAGAGGTTAGATGGCTTGAAAGGATGGGAAAAAAATGACCCCGCATTAAATGCCGAGCCACCTTTTCCCCTTTTTCCCCCGGACTTCACCGCACTAATTCGGCTGAAGTTGACAGGGAAAACAAGCTTAACGTGGCTAGCTAACGTGCTATATATCCCACATTCCGCTCCAGCTAACCCAGCTCTCTCCCTCTTCTTCTCGGGCTCCAGAGAACCAAAGAGCAATCTCTTTTCTTTCGTCGTCCGAACGGTTTTGGTTCAAATATCTTAAAATATCGTCGTGGCGAAATTTCGACGGCTTGATAATGTCCTCTTGCCCGGATCGGCTCCTTCGGCGACGGTTAGCATGGCCAGCTATCCAACGGCAGCAACTTCAACAAGCGAAAGAAAGAAATAAAGAAAAGAAATGTTGTCAAGGCGTTGATAACTTCTCTCAGTACGATCCTCTCGGTTTATGAAGCTTTCTCGCCTTCATTTGCCTGCTACGATGAATCTCGGGTCAGTTTTAGCCCCCTCCCTCTCCTTCTCCTCCTCCGTCTCTCTACGCTGCCTTCAATAAAGTGGCTCGCACTGTAGGCTCTACTGTATTCAAGATGGCAGACCGGGCGGATTGTTTTTGTTTTTTTCTGCTCCTCGCTCTCTTTTTCCCGCCCATTTCGCACAGACGTAACGCATGTTTGATGACTGACAGGCATTTTGTCCAATCAGAGGGGTGAATACCGAAGGCCAGATTTCTCGGTGACCAATCAAGGCGTCCCTCCCCAGAGGGAAGGCGGGATTGGATGTGTGGAGACGGTGGGCAGTTTAGCCATGGCTAGCTGGGGGGAGGTTGAGCATGAATTCTTACTACAATGTGATGTAACACACTTCAGGGCAGCTTAGAGGTCCTATTCAGTGCCAAAAATCTCCAAAAAGACAGATTGTTTATCAGTTTATTCTTTTATATCTACTTTCTAATGAGAAATCCTCCACTATTAGCAATGCTGTACCTTTGGTGGTGGTCAAACCTTGCAGTGTCCTACACTCTTAAAACAAATGGTTCTTCATCTTTACTAAAGGCAAGGGTTGTGTTTAGAACCACAAGCTCTATATAGAACCATTTCATGCTTAAATGGTCCTTTGCATGGTGAAACCGTTCGTCAGATAGATGGAGAATGCATTGCATGTGGTTCTGTAGCTATAAAACTTAATCGAAAATGGTTCTATATAGCACCAAAAAGGCTTCTTCTACTGTTACAATGTCAAGCTTATAACAATAGAACAACCCATTTTGGTGCTATATAGAGCCATTTTTAATAACGTTCTATGTACAACAATATACAACACATTCTCCATCAATCTGAAAAAAACATTTAAGCATGAAACACATGGCTCTATATAGAGCCTTTCCCTTTACTAAAGAACCCTTGAAGAACCAATTTTATGAGTATTGCACCAAAAAGAGTTCTTCTATTGTTACAATGTCAAGTTTGAAACAATAGGAGAACAATTTTTGGTCCTATATAGTGCCATTTTCAATAACGTTCTGTGTAGAACCATATACAACACGTACTCTCCATCAATCTGAAGATGATTTCATCATGTAAAGAACTATTTAAGCATGAAATGGTTATACATGGAACTCATGATTATAAATAGAACCATTAATGTTACTTAAAAACCTTGAAGAACCATTTTTAAGTGTATAGGCAGATTTCCATGTAGATATTTGAATATATCACATAATTTGTCTAAGGTTCCCTATGAAAAAATGAGTAGTTTTAAAATCCATAACATGTGCTAAATGTTCTTTAGACTTAATATGTCTACCGTAATGCTCTTCAAGTCGCAACTTAGCCTGTGAATCCTAGTTTTGAGCTTTGTAGAATCTGTGTGCATCTAAACGTCTTATTACTCATGTTAGTCGGTGTCACAATATTTATACACGTGTAATTAATGGTAACGCAGAGCTTAACGCACAGCCACTATCTTAGAAAATACAAAAGGGTTCCAGTGTTTCCCTACAGAATTAGTCACAGCCAATTCTATGTGCAAAGTATGACAGCAACAGTAACAATACCATCAATCTGGGAGGATGAGGCTAGCATGCACCTTCTATGAGAAAAAACCGTATGTATTGTGAACTGCTGGATGCACAATAACATACTCAGATAACGCTCAGCTCTGTCACACGATCATGATGTTCACATGTTTTGCACTTACAGTAGCTATGATGCAAAAGTCAGATGAGTTATTTAGTTTTCAGTCAAAACGACCATTAAGTACATGAATTGCCAGCATCAGAAAAAAGCAAGAAACCTATGTTTAACAACAAATTAGATATATGATAATAGAACATTAGATATAAGATGATCCGCTTGCTTAAGGAAAAGGAAAGTCAAAGGAAAATAAGTGAAAAAGCAGGAGTTTCCAAAATGTTCAACATATCATTAAAAGCTACAGAGACAATGGGACGCCTAACAACCACCTGGAAGACCTGGTAGACACCAAAACTGTCCCCATTAAATAAACAGCACTTAAAGCTTTCATCTTTAAGAGAGAGGAACAGTGGATATCTGAGATGTGGAGTAAAGTTTTATGCACCGATAAGTTTAAATTTAATTGGGATCACTTAGATTGTGAGAAGCAGGAAATGCAACCAACTTCTAAGACTGAACTTTAGAGGTGTGGAAAAATATAATTGAAAAAAACAGACAGCAAGTCTCCAGAAAAGGAACAAAGCTGTTATAAAGGCAAAGGGTGGACACATTACAGACTGAAATAAATGATATTATACAGTTGTGTGCAAAGGTTTGTGCACCCCTGGTCAAGTGACATGCTTTATTGATTTTCTAAGTGAAAATAATTGAGCTAACACACTTCTGCACATTTTAGTGCACAGTTGCTGCTTATTTGCTAAATGCAACATATGGGGCAGGGATAAAACATAATATGAGGCACATTTTATATTGTATGTTTTAATACACAGAAATAAATAGAAACCGTAGACTAAAATTTGCAGACGAATTCTATATTTAAGTGTGTTGCTTGCAGACGATGTGCTATGTCTTAAGTTAAATATATATTTTCTGCTATCCTGTCATGGAAAACTGAGTTTTGCACAATATTATATTTTCATTTTCAGAGAAGATGACAAACAAAACCCGTCTTTTGAAACCCTGGATGACCAAGATCAATGTATTTCCCCTCCTCAGTGCGCAGTATGTATAACTATAGCCTGATGTTGATCTACGAATAGATATGATCCTTTCTGCCTCATTCAACCAAGTGTTGTCACTCCTGCAAAAATGCATCGCCGTCCTGTGATCTGAGCCCATGTAATGAGCGTGCAGCCTTTTCAGCATGTGCTGGCTTGGACACTTTTAAGGCTAAGGCCATCACAGAATGCTATTTTGGCTCGAACAGGGTGGTGACTTTGACAATATCCCTACTAAGCTACTATGAAGGTCAAACGCTGATGGGGACTGATATTGTCCCACCACTTTCTCTCCCACTCCTGATATTTAAAACCTTAAATAATGCTGAAGAACGCTCTTTTTTCCACTCACCCCCCAGCCCTCTTTCTCTCACATTCACTCTCTATCTTTCTTGCTCTGCCCCTTAGTCTGTATCACTCCAGAAAAACTCTGGATGCCTTTTAGCCAGCGAAATTAGATTAGTGTCACTAAAAGATGAATGCGAGTTCCAGAGGTGAAGGGAAAATAAGGTAGTGCAATTTGTGTTTGCCAAGAGCCACCTTGACATGCAAGTAACTTTATTTTGCACTTACCCTCACAAACTAATAGTCAATTGCTGGACTAACAAAAGGATGAGAAGTCTTAAGGCACATTTTACATGCTTCGTTTGCAGGCTTGATTCAGATCGTGACACTGTGATGCATGCAGAGTGGGTAGCTAAGGGCTTCTAGTGCCTCTGAAACACTGTCTTATATAGACTTGCATTCTCTTTTTTTTAAAAGATGTTGCCCTTTTTATTCATAGAGTGAAACTGAGCTTTTAATAGGGCCATAAGCTGTAATTTGGGCATTGATAGGAAGGCAATATATGCATTTTTTGCATTCATACTGAAATGCGCACTGTGGAATTCAGTAGGCAAGCTTATTTTCAAACTCGAACAACAAGTCTGTGATGTCTCAGGCTTGAAGAATGTGGTTCTTAAAGGTCTTCAGCTCACTATTGTTACCCATTTCACCTCAGAGAAAAAGGGTTCTTCTAAGTCCGGCGAAGTGCCTTTAGAAATCGGATGGCTTGGATAACTTCGTGTGCTTCTTGTAGAGCTGTTCTATTGGCAATATTAGAAGGTAACTGAGTATACAGCCTTTTTTCCAGTTAAACTCAACTTGATCCAACTTAAACTTCTTAGTTTGGTCAAAAGTTCTCCTAACTCTCATTTCTGGTTCTGCGTCTCAGTTTACTCAATTTCTTCACTAGCTGGGACTCTTTCAGACATTTAGTCCTTTTGGGCTTCCAGATATGGACAGTTGTGGCTTTGCTGGGCTCCTCTTGGGTACCTACTTATGGATGGCTGTGGCATCACTGGGGTTCAATCTCACAACCTCCTGTTGGGGTGAAGGCTTAGTCAGTTGCACCCCTTGGGAACACCCTGACGTTGTGCCCATATATGTTTAATGCCCTGTAAAAAATATGTATGTTTTTTTTTGGTGCAACTATCTAATAATTCATTCCAACCTCAGGAGATTGTGAGTTTGAACCCCAGTGATGCCACAGCCATAAGTAGGTTCCCAAGAGGAGACTGTGTGATGAAGAGAGTTAAAAAAAACAAATTCTATATTATTTTCTTATTACTCTCTGAAAAGCAGAACTAAAAAAAACTGAGAGGACTTTTGACTAAACTTAGTTGGAGTTGGATGAGAAAAACTGTTACCTTATACATTCAAGCTGAGCTGACTTTCATTTTTAACAGCGAAAGCCCAGATTTTCAAAGGTGTATTTTTCTTATCTGGCCCTATCTGCTGTTTAGGGCTATTAGAATTATCAATCTAAACTGCATTAACAAAGTGAAGGAAGTGGATTTACTCAAAAAACTGCTTACAGAAAGCACTGAAATTGGTTCACCGCTAAACACTTGTGAAACATTTTGTCGCAGGGTCATCGGGCGGAATTCTGCACATTCCTCGCATCGTTCCTCTCCTTGAGCTTTTTAACTTTTCATCAAAGTGCTGAAAATGCCAGAGCTTATCTCAGCCCAGATTTTAAAGAGAAGCATGTCGAGATGTCAGGAACAGGAAGGCTGTATCTGTCCAAGTGCTGCATGTCACCCTGTAACGCCTTTGAATGCGTAGCCAAATAACGCAGCCAGTCAAGGGCATAGTTTTGAATTCAGGGTTCTTACTATGAAGCTGGAGAAACTATGGATGTCAAATAGTAGGTCTGCACAGTATAGACATAAAATGTGATGTTTGATAAAGCTGTTGGATGTTATGATAATGATACTAGAAATGATAAATTGTTATTAAAATAGTGGAACTTTGCTGCTCTCCTAATGGCAAAAAAAAAAAACAGAAAATACAAAATTATAAAACCATTTATGTTTAATTTTACTGTGTCAAATTGAAATACTGCAAGCA